GATAAATTCTAGAACCTCAAAACCTAAGTGAACAGAACAGACTAACAAGGTTTTTTTTTTCATGTTTATCCAGCATGCTAGGAAACATTAGGATGGTAAAACTTTTCCTAGGCTGGTTTTCACCCTAAATAACCGTAGACAATGTGAGCACTGCTGAACAATATGGCAAAAGGGGGACTAAACTAGCATTTAGCTGTTAAGTATTTGGTCTCTGACTCAACAGGCCAGAAGCTAAGAAGAAAAAAGTGAGAGAATAGCCTGCAGTAAAGAAGAAGTAAAGTAGAGCCATCCAGGAAGAGCACTCACCAACTGCAGATGCTTCCCAGTCTAGTGAAAGGTATACAAGAAAGCTTGCAAAGCATAATTTTTTCAACTATTTGAGTTGGTCTGATAAAAGATACCAGATATACCCAAAGAACCTTGTCTGTCTATGTCCTTAGACCAACATGGCTACAACCTACACCCCTGCAGTAAAAAACACATTCTTTTAAAGCAGAAGTAAAACCAGTGGTAGGTAGCAGATGGAAAGTACCCATGCTTATCTCATAAGGTGCCAAAAATCTCTTTCTTTGGATTCTTCAAGATCAAAGGTGTCACTGAATGAAACTTTTGTTTACTGGAAGTGGATGACCAGCAACAATGATGGTTATGATTATCTTGCAAAAACGACATTTTGATGCCCTGATTTTAAAAATTGTGTAAATTTGTGTTCCAAGCTCTCACTTTCATTTAAATACCATTTTGTTTGCTTTTTTGAAAACCATCACCACCCTCCAAATATCATAGAGGCTAAGATTGAGAGAACATATAAAACTGACACAAAATATAGGAGCCCAAAATAGGAAGAAGAGTAATAAACAGGCCTGACAGAAGGTAAATTCAAGTTCCTCCCTTTTTACCCATCAGTTGAAACAGAGCATCCAGACTTCTGCTTGTGAAGGAGACTTTGTCATAGTTCAGTTGGTCAAAGAATGAAAAAGCGAGGAAGTAGTCACAGAAGACAGAACAGTTGAATTCAGATATATATCATTTAAAAAAAACACAACACCCTGCACTCCTGTTTACCCACGGCAGCAGGGTCTGCCATGAAGAGGGTGGATAAACCTGACCCCTCAAGTAGAAATCCATTGGGAGCTTCAGTGCACAGGAGAGGGCAATGGTGCCTCCATGCCCATGCACCACACTGTCCAGCAGGGGGCAGTAAGGTGTACATCACCAGTGCCATTATGCACCATGGATGTGGAGGAACCCTGGGAGAACAAGACTTAGCAAGACAGTAGCACATTGCAGGGAAGAAAAAGCATGAAGTACTAGCAAGCAGCAGCAACAAGGCAAACTACACCATGTTACAGATCACCAGCCCATCTCACGTCTGGCCTCCTACGTGGATCAGACCTTCACTGAGAATGCCCCCCTGGGGCCTAGCCACAGAGGCGGTGCTTTTGTGGGCCACCTGCCCCTAGGACAGTGGTTCTCAACCTGTTTAGACTCAAGGTTGCCCTCAGAAAATGCCAGCTCTCAGTTTCCACTTGTTTTTTGATTACAGAAAAATGCTACAGCAGTTCTTCTGTTACAAAGAACTCAGAAAGCCCACAACAGGGCAGAATGTTCTTAATACTATGGATTCCTATTTGAAATATCTAGGTTTATCTTGTGAATCATGTTTGCACACCTAAAAGTGTTAATGTTGCATGACACCCCAAGGCATCTTTGAAAGGATCTCATGGCATCCCACGGTATCATGGCCCCCTGGTTGACAATCATTGCTTTAGGAGAAGGACCTCCCCAGCCTCACTTTGGAGAGAGCCCCAAATGACTCAGAAATTACTGTAGTTCTCCATCACCAGAGGCCCAGACTAGATTCCATCTGTGTAGTTTTATCTGCACTGCACTCTTCCAAACAGCACCTGCTCCAGGCTTCCTTGCTCTACAGACATGGTGAACATCACCAGGACCATAAATATTTCAGTGGTCTCAGACTCTGGGCCCAGCATCCTTCTTCCCCACTCCTATGAATATTTAAAGATCTCCATAGTGCAGAGCCCCACATATTCTACTCAGAAGAGTCATAGCAAATAAAGGCTGGCAATTGTGCTGTGCAATTTTGCAGGACAAAGACACAGCAGGATGCTGTGTTGTAATAGTGTGACCCTTACACCTACCCACAATGGCATTGAGTCAACTTGGCACGACCTTTATATTCACGCTGGGATGCAACCACAGGTGTACCACCTTAGAATCATAGAAAATGAGGGTTGGGAGGGACCTCAGGTGGTCATCTAGTCCAACCCCCTGCTGAAAGCAGGAGCAGCCCCAACTAGATCATCCCACCCAGGGCTTTGTCAAGCCAGGCCTTAAAAACCTCCAAGGATGGAGCTTCCACGACCTCTCTGGGTAACCTGTGCCAGTGCTTCACCACCCTCCTAGTGAGAAAGATTTTCCTAATATCCAACCTAAACCATCCTAATATTAAACCTAAACTTATCATCATACCTCCACATTCTAGGTCTGAGATCCTTGGCCAGCCATTGCTTCTCTACAGCCTTCCAAGGCACTTGACATGGCCTGTGACATCCTTCAGTAGGCGAGATCCTGTTGCCTCCATGACTTCACAAGCAGTCTCACTGCCTTCAGTGGATTTAGCACAAGTGTAACTAACCTGCACAGAGCAGACAATTATGTGGGAAGGCACAGAAGAGGATGGCCTACAATTCCCTCTCCCTTAGCTCCTCTATCTCTGCAGGGTAACAGAAATACAAGGTGCTATCACCCAATTACTTATTTGGCTATTGTTCAGAGTAGAACTGTGCTCTGAGAACTCTCTCTATTTTAAACTGGCATAAAGGGACAACTGCTTTTTTTTCCCCATGAGATCGTTCACAACAGTCTCATCGCATCTGAGGCATAATTAGGTCTCTCTAATTATTCCACAAGCTGGCTTAAGCAGGTACACAGCTGCACAAAACAGACGGTGTGAGTTTCAGGACAGGTGGTAACCCTAAGAAACACATCTCTTTTCACAGCAGGGCAGCTGTGGAACTTGGGTGCCAACTGCATTATTGACAGGGGCAGCGAAAAGGAGCCCACGTTCCATCGGCTCTGTGGGCCTGGCAGAGTGAATGTGTTTTTTGGATGACCAAGACAAATGCAGTAGATCCATGGATTTCAAAGCCAAAAGGGAAGACTATGGTTTGTTTAGTCAGGCTCACAGCACTTCCTCATGATGCCTCAATCAAAGTCTATATCTGTGTGTTAAGAGCTGTAGTCTCTACCCCTCAGTGGCCCCATGGGCAGCAGTACCGAAGAAGAAATGCCCTGTAAGCACCATCACACTTCACTCTCCCTGTCAAGCTTAGTTTAATTTAACATCTTAATTTCCTGCAGCCACAAGCAACACTGGAGGGACTTGCAGGCAACGTGCTGCCCATGAGCCATGAGTTGTGGACCACTGTGGTACAGCTCAGAGGGACTCAGTGCATGGGGCTATTGGTGGTTGTACACCCATGCTCAGGCAGTAACTGCAGGGTGTGGGTATATGTATAATAGATCAGTACGAAATGCAGCTGCGCTGGATCTATCAGGTGACAGAAGAGACACACGGGATGCATAAACAATGCAGGTTGTAATGCAACACTTGCTGCCCCTGCCAGACAGCTTCACGTTATGGGGGGGATCTAATTTCCTGCCCACAATGGATTCAGTGGCCAGCTGCTGCACCATCCTATCAGTCTGCAAACTGCCCAGGTGTGCAATGGGAAAGCCAGACCTAGGCCAAGACTCCTCAAAATGCCTTGGTCTCATACTCTGCCGTGCTGCCTGGTCAGGTCCCGAGTGCTTTATTTATCAAGCTCCCACTGGGCTTGCCACAAAAACTCATGCTGACAGTCCAGTGTTAAAGATCACATCATCTCCTCTCTCTTGCCCTGTTTTCTCAATGCGGATGGATGCAGTGGAACTTTACAGACAGCAGGTTGCTGACATCCCTTTCTGCACCCTGCTCCAGGAGGCTGGTCAAGATGAAAGCTTTGTATGAAAAAAAGCAGGCAAATGGCCCTGCAACATCACTTCTTGCTTGCAGAGCTTCTTGCAAGAGTGTCTCCGTGTCCGCAGAATCTCCCTGCGAACACGGGATTGCTTTTAATGTCTGCAAGTGCTTTGAGTGAGGGGCTCCCAGCTGCTTCGCACCCCACTTGCTCCTAGAGATGCGGGGTGTTTCCAGCCCCCCGCTGGCGTGGCGGGTACACCACCACCAGTCCTTAAGCCTGTTGCCTTTCTATTTTTCAAAGCAACCACCCCAAAAAGCTCCTGGTGGGCCCTCGCTCGGCTGTCTGCATGTGGGGCATTTGTCTTATTATGCGCACCCACCCTCAGCTCCGTGCCAAGGCCAGGGGCTTGCTTCTGCACCTCCAGAAGGGGTCGAAGCCTCGCTGGGCTGCCCATGCTGAGCCAACCCGGGGGCACAGCCACAAACTGCCCTCCCCTGCGCCCCTCAGCCTGCAGCTGGCACAGGCCCCCGGAGGGGCCATCACAGCCTGCCTCCCAGGAGCGCTCAGCCGCCTTCATCCCCGGGGGGGCAGCCTTGGAGAGCCCCTCCCCAACTCGGGCATCTCCGCGCCGCCCCTCAGCAATGCAGACACCCCCACTTTTCTTTTTTAAGAGCCATGCCTGGGCTCCCGCTGTTTCCGAGGGGGGCAGCCCCCAGCCCGAGAGCCCGCCCGGGGCGGCGGCACTCACCGTCCGGCCGCGCCGCAGCTCCTCCCCGAGCAGGGGCCGCCCCCTGCCTGCACCGCCCCTGGCTCCACCTGCCCTGGCCCGCTCGTCCGCCCCCCCGCCACCAGGGCAGCCTCGGAGGGACCTGCTGCCCCCCCACACCCCCTCTCCCCTTGGCAAGCGCTGGCCCAGCCCCCCGTCCTCCTGCCCTGGCCTCGCTTGGGCTCTTGTCTGAACTCCCTCAGCCCCCCTGGCCCTGGGGGGAGCTCCACAAAGCCCTGGCTGGGATGGCCGGGGGGGCGTTGGTCCTGCTTTGAGAAGGGGGTCGGCGTGGGCTTCTCAACCCACAAGTGAGTCTCGAGAATATAGGAAAGGAACCAACCTGAAACATGGATTCTCCTTTAACGAAGAAAAAGGTGGGAAACGGGGGCTTTTTTTCCCCTTGCGGGCTGGCAGAGCTCCAGCCTGCGAGGGCTGCTTGGGGCCCCTGCCCCACACACGGGGGAGCTGGGGGCAGGGGGCGCCGGGGCGGGACGGCCCATCCACGTTTACAAATGGGTCCTGATGCAAAGAAGGCTGAGAAGCACTGGGCTAGATGATCTCCTGGCATGAACAACGTGTGCCCTGGGCAGCTGGGGGGGCATGGCGATGGCGGGAGTGCAGTGGGGGGAAGTGGGGGAGCTCCGGCAGACACTGTGCCCTCACAGCTGCCCAGGGCAGGCGAGTGCTGACCAGGCGTCGGTGGCACCTTTTTGTAGGGGGTGCACTGCTATGCTCAAGGGGTGCACGTGCACCGGCATGCAGCCCCTGTACATCACCCCTGCCTCCTGGGGTCCCTTCTAACCCTCATTTTCTATGAGTGTATGAGGGGGCACAGATGCCAGCTGGGCTCGCAGGAGGTATAACAAGGGCAGGGAGAACGGGCACAGTCGTGCACAAGGAGGGGATGCCGCTTTGTGGAGGCTTTTGAGGTGTCCGTGTGGCCTTGTTCCAGTTCAGAATGACGCCCCCCAGGAACAGAAACAGAAGGAACCCACGTTTTTTAGTGCTGAGCAACACATTTTGTTCCAGCTTGACTTTCTGCTATTATTTCTCTCACTGTTAATAATGTTGGGTGATATAAAGCAGGTGGAAGGCAGGGCAGAGTTGCACTGGGTAGACCAGTGATTCTCCAACTAGGGTGCCAGGGCAGCCAGGGGTGCCAGAAGATCCTTTGAAGGGTGCTGCAGGAAATGTGAGGAGAGTACATAGGGCTCTCTGCCCTACAGGGATCTTTAAATATTCATGAGTGGGGAAGAAGGATGCGGGGTCCAGAGTCTGAAGCCACTGAAATATTGATGTTCCTGGTGAGCTTTTGCCATGTCTGTGGAATAAGGAAGCCTGGAGCAGCTGCTGTTTGGAGGAGCAAGAGGAGGTGGCAAGACAGAAGAAACTACAGAGAGGGGTCTCTGGCAGTTGGCAGGCTGAGCAGACTGAGGGGAGAAGCCACTGCCCAGCCCCTCTGCAAGGAGGCAAACAATGTAACAAATTAATTAGCTTTTAAAATGGGGTGCTGCTCAATTCACAAAAGTTAGGGAGTGGTGCCTTGAGTCTAATGGGGGTGCTTCAAATCTAAAAGCATTGAGAACCACTGGCATAGACCAACTCAGTGGTTCTCCACCTTTTGGGTCTCATTTGTGCTGTTCTCTGAACTCCAGTCCCCCTGGCCTTGAGAGGGCATAGCAATCCTTGAGGCACCCCTCACTGGACTTGAGGCACCCCTTCATACCTTTTGTGAACTGAGTGGCACCTGCTTTCAAAAACTAGGATATATTAGTGCTTACTTCCTTGCAGAGGGGCTGGGTAGAGGAGGTTTGGGATAACCCAAGGCAGGGACAAGCCTGAGCCTGGCTTATTTGTTTAGCCTATCTGCTTATACCCCTTTTATCTCATCACACCTCCAGACAGCCTTCAAACGATCTAGGGACATCTCCAGTTGCCCCAGCACCTTGGTAGAGAATCACTGGACTAAATAAATCAGAGATGCAGAAGCCTTCATAAGTAGTTTACTTTATCAGATGCTATGTCTGATTTAGTTAGTCTATTAGGTGCAAATCTACCTTACATTCTGCCTGACTTCAGACTAACAGAGCAGAGGTGAATTTACACTTGGTGAATGTCATAGAAACCAAATGAATGGCAAGATTTAATTTGGCCATGTTGCTGCTGTGGGCTGGTAGAAGGGAATAAAAAGGCAGGCAATAAAATATAAAAATTGCAAACTGAACACAATGTCATTTCAAAACAAAAAAAATGACCAAAAAATCCTAAAATGTTGAAATAGGACAACTCAGACCTTACCAAAACTCCCCTCCCTCACCCAGTTTACATTCAAAATTAAAATCTGGTAAAACTGACCCAGTAGCAAAGCACTGCAAGCTCTGCATGTTCTGCCAGCTCTGCATGTACTGTCCCAATAAATTTTCTCTGACTGGCTCCAGTCATCACCTGCCTACTCTTTGGGATAAACACACTGCCTATGCAACTCTAAAATTATGTCAGACTTTTCACAGTCAAATGCAATCTGCAAAGCTCTATCTAACCTGCTCTGTAGCCTCATGCATATTGCTCTACTTTTTTTGGTTTTTTTAAGGAACATTTTTCATATCCCAGGTCAAATTAGTCAGATCAGGTCCAAATCTGTTTGAATCATTCAAGAACTATATGCAGCTCTACTACTGGCAAGTATCCTCCACCCCAGCCTGGGGCTTCAGATACTTCCAAATCCTTTGGCAGGCATCCTACATGCAAGCCCAAGCCCAGAAGCTTGGGGTTCAGATGCCCCAAGTTTCATTTGTCCTCAGCCATACAGCCGCAGGAGCAAGCTAGGGAGGAGTCTCCTATTTTCATAAAGTTGGTGTGTAGCCAAGATCCTCCCCCTGGAAGCTGGCCAGTGGGAAGCTAACTATGAGGCTTTCATAGGGAGTCCTGTCTGCAAACAGGCAAGGGTGCACCCTCCACTATATAGTACCATTTTAATTGCATTACCTCGGTCAGGGTATTTCCCCTGCCAGGTAAGCATATTAGTCTGTCTACACTGCAGTCACTGTTAGATATTGCTCACTATGTAGTTAAGGCAGCACAAAACTCAGCACAGGCTGCAAAGCCAACACAAGAAATTGAGTAAACACTTTTAACACTTAACCCAGGCCAAGTTCCCTTCTTGGTTAGTAATCCCTGAGCTGGCTGGTTTAAAACTAGCTTAGGCATGAGCAACTGGTGCCTTCCAAGACAGGGAAGGGGGGGGGGGTGCACCATGGTGGTGAGCAGTGAGCGAGGCCCGCCTGCAGACACCAGCGTAGGTGTTGGTGGCAATAAACGGAAACCACCTGCGGATGCCAGCGGTGGTGGTGAGCGGGAACTGCCCATGGACACTGGCGGCGGGGCACACAGTGAGCGGTAAGCAGGAACTGCCCGCAGATGGCGGCAGCGGTGAAGGCGGGTAGCAAGTGGCGACCACCTGCAGAAGCTGGCAATGGCTTCAGCAGCAGCCAGCCTCAGGGTGGGCACGTGCCCCCCCGCATCCTCCCTACGCATTGCCTATGAATTTACGTATGTCTATGTAAACATACCGTGTAGGCACACCCTATATCTCTGTAAGCATTCTTATATCCCATATTTTTCCCTTTCCTCCCTCCTCTTTTTCAAAATTTGCAGCTTCAGTAACTCCCTTATTTCACAAATCCACTACCTTGATGCCATCTTTGACTTGCACAACACCAGAGATGTTGTCACTAAAATCTTGCTGGATTTTCCTCTACAATGTCTTCAAAATCCAACAGCACCTTTTCGTTCTCAGCACTAAAGTTCCTGATCTGGCCTGGAGCAAAGCACCAGAAGGATTTCTGGAGATGGTCCCATGACCACTCTAGTTTTCCTTTTACTACACATGTGCCCTCCCCTCTTCCAATTTTGCCATTGGCTTGATCAAGCAGCTCTAGTTTTCCGCTCCTATCGACTCCCACATCTGACATCTGTTTGCTGCCTTCAGCTTCCCCCTTAAGTTCTCCCTCTTTTCAGAGTTGTCCTGTTTCAACATTTTGGGAATTAACATCTCACCAATTTTTGTAAAGAGAAGATTAGTGATACCCTGCAAGACTGTCCTTTTCCCACTTCTTCCTTCCCTCTTTGCAAGGAGCATCATGCCTCAAAAGTTTGCCACTACAGAAATGAATGGCAAGTAGCACAAATATGATTGGAAGCTTTTGAGATGGGTTGGCAGTGATGCTGGGAATCCTAGAACAAAGAATCATGTCTTTTGGTCAGCCTGATGAAGATCAAGGACATGCATTCTGGCAGGGCAAAGTGGAATGGTGGCAGGAAGTAGGACTGGAAGGCAGGAGATCTCAGAGATCTGTTCCTGTGGGGCCTGGGCCAAGTTACTAGGGCCAATACTTTTCAAGTTTGGGAGCCTGTAGTTAGGCACAAACCCACATATTACGGACAGCTCTATTGTTCTGGGAGGCTGAGTACTTGCAGATCATTCTGACATCAGTGGGAGCTCTGAGTACTCAGCACATCTGAAAAATCAAGTCTTTTACATAAAGGTCTAACTGCAGGCACTCTGGCTGGTATGTTTTGGACTCAGTTACCTTGCCTCTATCTCTGTTAAAATGGGGGTAACTAACAAGGCACACATCACTGAGGGCCTTGCGATCTTAATTGTTTGCAAAGCACCATGGATCCTTGCCTGAAAAACTCTGTAGAGATGCAAAACATTAGTTGTTAATTAATGTTACTTATAATGTAATACATTATTTTATTAGTTAGTAGTATTTATTATTAAACCCTTAAGAAAAATACTACCGATAGTGAGCCAGCAGTTTATAAATACTGCTAATAAAAATAGACATTTCACATTCAATTCTGTCCCTCTGGAGTTAGCTTAAAAAATCCAACACCAGAGCTATGGAATATTGCTATTCCCATGACAACTTTTTTTTTCTTTTTTTTTTAAATATTGATCATCCTCAATCCATGAGAGGGAAAACGAAACTAGAATCTAATGGAAATAAACTACCTGTTTACCTGATGGTCTCATGTACTATCATTATGAAGCTCTGGGCTTAGGTCCCTACCCAGTGCAGGCTCTGACTTCAGCAGCACTGAGTTACCAAAGAAAAGATTTCTGTGGTTTCCCTGGATCAGTCAGACAATGAGGCTGATGTTGGCTCAATTCTGTCTTTGCCCTGTCTCCACTATGGTTTCAAAGAAAGGCCTGGGTGTCTGCTGCCCCAGTCCCCGAGGCTCCCAGCAATATGAGAAACTCCTCCAACTACAAAAGCAACAACCATAAAACCACCAAGCGCCTTACCTGTACAGGAAAAGGTGCCAGGCTACACAACAGCGCACTTCCCTGAGCAGCGAGTTTCGCTGTCTCACCGAGGGCAGGCAGAAACAAGAGTCTGAAGAGGCACGTGTGGTGGCAACGGCAGGCAGCCCATGCTTCAAGAGAGTTCTGTTATTATCTCTACAGGGATACAGACTCTTTCATCCTCAGGGATCCTGCACGGTACTTAAAGAACTATATATAGAGAGACATGCAGCAGCCGTTAAACACAACAGTTATGTGTTGACTTGGGGATAGATTCTATAAGTGAAGGAGAGCACTGAACCCAGTTGAAACTTCAGGGAGAGCTGGAGAAATGGGGAGATTAGCATTTGCTCAGGCTGGTGATGCTAACAGCCAGCAGTAACTTTAATGATCATTACAAGTAGGTTGCAGGCTTTACTTTACCTCTGTTTTCACCACTGCACCAACCCCAACAGAGCAGAAGGAACTCTGTCTACTGAGCCACATGCACTTTTTTTTAATGTACTCCATGCATGTTTTGACCTTATGTGGTTCTGCAGGTCTTGGAGGAGCTAAGAGGGTAGCATTACTAGGCAACCTATTGTTCTCTCTAATTAGTCCAAGTGGTAGAGTGGCTCCATGGCTGGGGCATGGGGCTGGGACTCAGGAGGTCTAAGGGCTGGTGATAATGCAGCCATGGATGTGCTGTATGAGATCAGGCAACTCTCTCCATCAGTTTCTCCTCTCATCTATGTAGGCTGTAAGGTCTTTAGACCAGGGACTGGGTTCATGCAATACTTAATGCCAGACTTTAGAAAGATGCTACTGGCCATGTCTACATGAGATGCTGACTGCACAGTAGCTCATTACTACTGCGCAGTAGCATTGTGTGACATGAAGTGTGATGCAATGCTGCTTCTGCACAGTAGTAATGAGCTACTGTGCAGTCACTGTCACCAAAAAGCTGTTCAAAGACACTACTGTGCAGCAACTCCAGTTACCATGTAATCATTTAGTACTTGTGTATGCAAGTACTAAATGACTGCACAGTAACAACTGTGTACTTGGCATCTTGTGTAGATGCAGCCACTGTTGCATAGTGAACAGCTACCAGATTAAGTCATGATTTTATTGAAGTAAGTCAGTTTATTACACTAAGTTCATTGGGCAAATCAGAACTCAAAAAATCAAATGGAGGTACAGGGGAAATGGGCTTCATATGTCACCTGCCCTATCTCCAGAGTCTGCAGGTGAGAGTCTGGGTTTGTATGCATCAATATAAAATGAGTACTTGTAACTGTATTACAGAGCTCTCATGTTTAAGCTGAGCGGGCTTGCTCTACGGCACTGTGGACCCCACTGTTGGCAAAGGACACATCCCCTCCTCAACTTCTTGTTTATGTCTGGACCAGGTAAGTCCAATTGGTTCCCAGACTTGCCTTGATATTTCTCCAAACTATAAACTGGGTAATGATGACTTTCATGCAGAGTGCCAGCCCACACATTTTTACCTACTCAAACCTTCCTCAGGCTGTAGCTGATCACTGTAGCTAGTGATTTCCAACTCTTGATTATGGGAAGTGTCACACTGCATTTAGCAATGCCAAATTTCTTCCTATAAATTATTATTCCCAACTCCTCTTTCTGATTTATTATACAGACTCCTCATGTTGGTATATAGACAACTGACTGAGAGTTTTCTTTTTATTTTGTTTCAGTGTGTTCATGGTGCCTTGAGCTTATGTCTGTAAGGCTTTTGCCACTTAACCCTTTCCCCTTGAACTTACAGCTTAACACCCTCCTATTTCTAGATAGTTTCTAATGAAGAGGATTTGGCACTATATATATCAGAGATGCAGGCTATCCTACTGGTACCACTACCACATTAAGAATGTGGCTTCATGATCCACAAAACCCAGACTTTCCATTCTACACCAGTCACGTAGCCAATGTCACAACTTCCAGTATGTTCTGTTTTCTTCTTCCTCTCACTTGTGGGAGCAAAGGGCCTTACCAAGAAGATTACGTAGACTTTCCTCTTAAGATGTCTCCCAAGGTTCCTCAAATCGTCAATAATCTCTGTAGCTCTACCTAGGAGATAACACAGGATCCTGTTGCCTTTGTGCCCCTCCCTGAATTCTCTATCCATTTTTCTTAACAGCAGTTGCCAGTGATGACTGCCTGCCCCCTTACAACAGTTAGAGAAACAGTTTTGAGCATCCTCACAATAAGAAGCAAGCAGCTACCCTGAGGTGAGCTTTGGTCCAGTCCTCTGAATGAATATTCAGAGACAGCTTCTGTATCTCCTTTGCTGAGTGTCTCATCATGATGCAATAGTTCCAGTTTGACTGAACATCTCCTGATCCTCTTTCCTCTTCAGGTTATAAATTTCCACTCCTCTTTAGTTTCAATTCCCATTACTTTTCTTTCTGCTAGCCCTTCTCTGTGTTGCATCTGTGGCAACAATTACTGAATCCAGTTGCCAAAAAAGTCAGAATTTACTTGGTGGCTGCACACAGTTGATATTAGTGCTTCGAGGCTACAACATTGTTCCTTCAGGATTGACAATAACTGGCATTTCATATGCAAGTAAAGTCTTCTGTCTTCAGGGAAGAAGTAAAGCATCCTCCACAGGTCACAATGGGTATTTTGTCAATCTGCTGTGTTCTCTAAACAGTGCAGCACTGTACCTAAATAGAAATAAACCACACACCCTCTGAAAGCTCTTGTTTGTTGTTTCCCATTTTCTTGCTCCCAAATTCCCTCCATCCCTGCTGTGCACTCCAAATATACTATCCCAAATTTTGTGCTCCTTTTTTCTCCCCCTCCTTTCTCCCAGGTAATGGAGAGGACTGTTAGAGTTGGGTAAAATCCTGCCTGCCTACTCCACCTAGAACTACCGTCACACCAGAGTACCTGCAGCTGCTTTATATAACTAGTCCACTTGAATCAGCACTGCTAACCTGGCTACCAGGGACAGGTTATATGCCCAGAGTGCATAAGGCCTGGTTGAACACTCACAGGGCCATCCAGCACAGCAAGCACTCAGCTTTCCTAAAAATATCCCCAAATGCAGATACACACAAACCAGTAGAGTCACTTTCCTCCAAGCACGGGATCCACAGTTATTACTCTGAAAACCTTCCTGTTTGCTGATTCCTGGCCCCCGCAGATGCAGAAACATTGGCATATAGCTAAGCCTTGCATGCTGCATACAGGTGAGTAGACAGGTGTTTGGACTCTGCCACGCTCACATGGTCCCTTCCTATTACAGCCATTGCATAAAGAGCAAAAGACACAGCACAGCCTCCCCATGAGCCGAGCTGAGGGGGCAGCAGGGAAGTAGAGACCAGGGTAACTCCCAGAGGAGGGTTCTTCAGGGTGCTGTAGTTAGAGGGGGGGGGTGGTCCATGGTGGCTCCAAGCTTTACTGAGTAGCACCTATTAGAGCCACATGTGCACCTTGTGCCTCTTCATGTTCCTGTATCAGGGCATGGAGGGCAGGAAAGCTGTGACCTCCTTCAGTGCTGTCAGAGCCTGATGTCTGTGACCACAGGACTCTGAGAAGATGAACAGTGGGAAAGGACAGGGACTTCCAAGATGGGAAACTTGTAAAAGAGATGGTGAAGCTGATCTGAACAGTGGGGAGAGATGGACAGCAGTGGCATGGGCACCCTCAGCACAGCTTCACTGCCTCCTTCCCAAGTTTGGCATCTGGTACCCCTGGGAGCAGCAGGGAAGCAGTGTAGACATACTACAGTACATCCCCCTGTGCCTTGCAGAACTGAGCTGAGAATATCTATTGTTTTTGTAACAATTCTGTTTTTTCTTTGCCCAGGGCTCCAGCCATTAGTGCAACCAGCCTTAAAAGGGTTTCCCCACAATCACACATCTGCTGGAATATCTGATTTTTTTTCCATTTCTGCTGTTCTGGCCATCGACCAAATGGCATCTTTTGCCTTTGTCGGGGTTGCTACTCATGGGGCACTTTTGTAGAGAGCCAGCACATGGATTCCTGAGGTTCATAGTATAGTCCATGAGCTCTTGAGGGAAGGGAACATTTTAGTTGTCCTCTGGCCAGTGAGCTTCATTCCCTGAAAAGGCAGAATATTAGTTGTGGTCTGCATATTGCATGGTATGTGCAAAGTCTGGAACCACTGCTGTGAACTCAGGTTCTACCCCGGCAAAGGCATGGGAGTCAGCATGAAATATCTCACCTGACTATCCAGGAGGCAGCCAACTGACATTATTCTCACATATTTTTTAAGGAACACCCATTAAATGCAAATGCAAAGATCAGGGGATAATAGGAAAGTAGGGCTGGGATCAGCCTCCTGATGTCATCTAGTCCAGCCCCCTGCTCAAACAGGATCATCCCTGATTAACCATCCCAAGTCAAGTATCTGCCTAATCTGCTCTAGCATATTCCAGGTATGGAGATTCTACAACTTCTCTAGGTAATCTGTTCTTGAATGATCAGTCACCCCCATAGTCAGCAAGTTCCTCCTAATCTCCAACCAAAATTTCTTCTGCTTGAGTCCATTGCTCCTACTCCTGTCCCCTACAGCCACAGAGAAAATCCTATCTTCATCCTCTCTATAATTGCCCTTCAGGTACTTGAAGATTTATCAGATTCCCTGCACAAGTGAGTTTGCTGCATTCTCTCTTGTCATATAATACATGAGATACTGCATTTACTCACATGCCACATATACAGGCCTTGTTTTCGGAAGAGGCAAGGGTTTCTTAAGGTGATATCTTTTATCGGACCTGTCACAACCCAAGGGTGTGATTTTTGTTTTGTGTGTGCTTTGGCACCACTGAATTATTTTCCCGTCAATTTGTGGCTTTCTTTGCAGCACAGAAATGCACTTTGCAAAGAGTTCCCGCCATTTGTATTATAATTCGAGCCCCATTATTGGCTTGCGTTAAATTATTCGCATATGGTGGCTAGTGATTGGCTTGCTAGCCGTATAAAAAGCTTGAGTGGTTTCCGCCCAAGTTGGAGGACTCCATGAACACCAGGAGGAGACTTCACACTGTGTGAAGATCTCTAAGCGCTGTGGAGCCTATTGGACCCAGCGCATTTCAAGCAGGCAACAGGGGTCTGATCAGCCTCTAGCCTCTCCCCGTCACCGAGCGCAATCCTCGACGTATCCCTCTTCCCTGTGCGCAAAAGGATCCACGGAGCCTCGACAACTCTGTGGGAGAGATCCGAATATTGTGTGAGTCCTCAAACGAGGATTTAAGCGGAGCTGTGCCTGGGAAACTGTCCAGCCTACACCGCGACCATCTTCGGTGTAAGTAAACAATCTTGAATCAACCATTACGTGTCCGTGCCTAATTCTAGCGTGTTGCCTGTTTTTTCCGACCCAGCGTGCCCAGGCTGCTGGCCACAGCCCGTGCGGCGCGAAAAAGGGCCCGGATCACTCCCGGCCCGCACAGGACCAACTACGTAGTTAGTATAAATTTAGACAAGCTTTCAAATGCAAGATATTCTTCATCAGGTCTCTAATCCATTTTGGAAGGCAGAATGCAGAAAAAAAGAATTTTTTTCCAGAGCCATGGCTTAGAACTGGCCTTTTCATAGAGACACTGGGTTGCAAAATGGTAGCCAGCTTCTCTCAGACAGCAAATTGACTGCAGCTGTGAAAGGGTTAACACTGGGCTCTTCCCCTTCTGCTTGCTGTTCCACAGAGAAGGTGGCAGCCATTTTGCAACAAAGTGTCTCTATGCTTCTATTCTAATGAAGAAAATCCACTCTGCTGCTTAAAAGATACCCTCCCAGTTTGGAAGGCTAACTTTAGCGGGGAAAGATGCACTGTGGCATGTGAGTAAATATGGTAATGGCACTGAGAGAGGGCTATGCAGTCCCAGCCTTTATGCCTGTGTAGGCACAGGGTACATGTACGGCCCTGACAAACATATAGTTCATGGGGCTTAGGTATATGTGTACCTTCCTTAGAACCAACTGGTTATTACCTGATTATTCTTTCCCCTTCCCATTTTCTTTATGACAGCATGGGAAAGGAAGAGCTGCACAGTTCTTGACTCATTTGGATTAAAGGCATTTTTTGTTTCCTTCCTGATTGTGTTTTACTGTAGAAGTTCAGATTGTATATGTCCTGCCTCTTTAAAGTCTTTATGGGCCACTGGTAACCTTAACATTTAGGCAAATAATGCTTGGAAAGCTCCCATCCATATTTCCTACAAAGACTTTGGAAACATTGTGGGGGAGAGAGTTCCTGAGGAATCCAGCTGGGTTTTACGCAAGCCCTTAATGCATGCTGGTACAGGACACCAGATGACTGGTCATGTTAGATGCATCCAATAAACCCAACTGCTCTTTACTTTAATACCAAGCCTCAGCATATTACTCTCATTAAAGGCTTAACATGACCTGGAATGCGAGAGAAGAATCCAGGCTCATTCGTGCCACTCTTAAACTACATACCTTTTGAGGTGGATTCGTTGTTGTCAGTAACCCAAGAGCCCACAAGGATTATAAGTCATCTTGCCTTCTCAGGGTTTGACTGGGTAACAAGAATCTCCAGAGAAGCAGAGTTTCAGCCGTGCCTGGCTGCTAAATCAAAGATGATAAATAGTAATTTCTTTCAACCATAAAAATCCATGACTGTTCATGAAGTCATATAATGATCTCACTGGGCTTACTTACCTGCCTTTCCATCCCCCACTACACTGCGAGGGCATGTTTTCCTTTCTATGAAAGGCAGAGGAAAAAAGCCACTCTCTCTGCACATATATCATTTTAGCATCTCAAAACTGCATAGAAAGTTGAGCACCATAGTTATACTAGCGTGAAGAGGAGTTGATAATTTTGCTTGTTTTCAGCTGCTTCAAGAGGGACTTATGCAAGTGACTTTTTCTGGAGCTGTTTTTGTAATGTTGGGTATTTCGTTTTCGTTATGGGGGAAAGACCTGTCCCATCTTGGTCTAAGCACTAAAAGCGGTGAGACTCATATGTGCAGTAAGGCCTCTCAAGGTAATGGTAAGGACCTTGCTGTAGGTTTGGAAGTGACAGGCAGCCAATATACAGTGCACCATAGCATTGGTGTGATGTATTTGCAACTCTCCATTTTGCTTAGCTGCTTGGTAGCAGACAATTGGACAAGCAGCTTGACATGGCCTCTTTTATCTGTCATAATGCAAATTTAGGGCTAAATGTTTTGGCCCCATGGACCAGGTGAAAGGCACAGAGCCCAGTCTGTGGGCTGGACAGGGCC